AAAAANAAAAAAAAAAAAAGTACTGAAAGAATAGCAAAGGAAAGAATTTTTTCATTTCCATTTCCATATAAAATGTTATGTGTTATTTGATAAAAAATAATTCATTAAAATGGAAAATTTAATTTAAATCAAAAAGTCATTTTTTTTTTTAATTGAAATATATTACAAAATGGTTGTCGCAAAAAGGAAAAAAAAAAATAGAAAATAAAGTAATAAATGTTAACAAATGCTTTCAACGATTATAATGCTAGCAAATTTTTCATTTAATTCATTTTGAAAATCCTAAAATTAACTTTAATTAACTGCAATAATGCGACGATCCTAAAATGTCAAATATAAGCAGATGTGATATATCATGAAAAAAATGTCACCAAATAGTTGAATTTAACAATCGAGAAAAGCAAAACTATTTCTGTTAATGAAAAAAGTGATGATTAAATTAATTACTTAAAAAAATAATTATTCATTACAGTTTTTAGATGGATGAAAAAGGAGCAAATTGAAAAGAAAGTATTGAAATGAATTAATTTAAATGAAAATACATTCTGTAGATTAAATGAAATTTTGAATAAAAAGAGACAATATGACATTTTTTTTTTTGTTCATAAAAATTAATGAAATGAAAACAAAACTTAAAAATATTTCAAAAAAATAGAATAATCTTGGAATGATCAATCGATTGATCATTGATCAGAGATTAAGCTGATAAGAACTTTTACTCTTGGTAAATAAGCTGAGAATTGAAAGATTGAATTAAAATTTAAAATTACTTAAAATTATTTCACATGTATGATAAAATTAATATTGTCAACCCTTTCCCTACCCTTTCTTCTGTCCCCACTTCATCTCTCAATCTATTTTCAATACCTACCTGTAATAGTATTTACATTACGCTGATCATTGAATCATTTACCCGTTATTACAGAATGCAAATTTCAAAGGATACTGTTGTGAAGTGAAGTGGAAAAAAAACCGGAATTTGTCATAAAATGACAATTTTGGGAGACC